CCAAAAAAAAAAAAAAAAAAAAAAAAAAAAAAAAAAAAAAAAAAAAAAAAAAAAAAAAAAAAAAAAAAAAAAAAGTGCAGCAGCATGGAGCAGAGGATGTTGAGACAGATCCAGCCTAAACGCGCACAGCCAAAAACACCTACCTTGCTGATGATGTCAACACAAAAGACCTACCTTGCTGATGATGTCAACACAGCTTACCGTACGTAGCAATAGGTTCACCAAATCTTCACGTAGTCCCGCGCTGGGTCAAGGATGGCATCACCCCATTCTGCGCACCCTAAGGTAGCTTTCAAACCTCCGTTCGCTCCGCAGCAACTCCGGGACCGCTTCAGATGAAATGGGCGGAACCGCTGGAAAGTAAAGGCCTGCGAGATCGCACGATCTTCGTGACAGGGTCATATATAGGGTTCGGCACCCCCACTCAACCTCGTCAATAACATTCTACTTGCCTGCCCTTGTAGTGCCCGTGATAGTAAGAACAAAGAATACGTCCACAAGATCGCCGAGGCAGGCCAGGAAGCTTCGGAACGAGACCCTTCTTTCGTTCCTAGAGCATGCTGTCCTCCAGAACGTCTTCCAGCTCATCTTGCACCTCAGAAGTACTCTGACAGTTTTTCGCCGCTTAGTGTCTCCAGCGTCTTTACAAGCTGCTGGCACTTGGCCACTACTTCCAAGACACCATCCTCCAGCAACTCCGCCAAGAATGGAATAGTTTCTGGAAGCAAGGTGAGGTACTCCTCTTTCAAACGATCAACCTGCCATCGCAATTCAGGAGTCAACGACAGAAAGTCGTTTGGTAAGCAGGAGGCAAATCTGTTTTTCTTTTCTTTGTATTTATACTCTATCAATTTATTTAAACTCTCAGAGCACACACTTTCACACTTTCACACACACACAGGGGGGGCACACACATGGAGAGAGAGAGAGAGAGAGAGAGAGAGAGAGAGAGAGAGAGAGAGAGAGAGAGAGAGAGAGAGAGAGAGAGAGAGAGAGAGAGCACCAAAGTTTGGGGGGGCAAGCCCGACTATCTGAAAGCTGCGAAGATTCACAAAGAATTTAAACATACTGCGGTGATTTAAGCAACGTGCGACAATTCAATGGGACTAGATGCAGGGAACACAGATAAGCTAATTGGGAAGACAGGCAAGAGTTGATCTGTAAACGGCAGCAACAAACTTCATGCAACAAGTTCATACCACGTAACCACAGTAAACAAGGCAGTCAAGGCGACGGAAGAAGGATCGGTGTCAAGCGCAAGAAATGTGAGCTGACTCAGCTGAGTCGGCAAATGAGAGGTCTAAGCGCAGCTAACTCAAGCCAAGGCCCAAGGCAAGAGAATGCCAGCCCAGTCCACTTATATAACTCGAGCCAAATCAAAAAGGAGTCACACAAGTTAAATCGTCAACAAGTCACACAAATGCAATGAAGATGAGCAATAGTGAACTTCAGCAATCAAACAGCATCATACACATGAGACCCGATAGTCGTGACCTCAAACCAATAGCAGAATTGCATCAGGAGTTTCACCAAATAAGAGCACACCAAAAGCTCATAATTGACAATGCTGGAATCGTCTCATCATCATCAACGAAGAACCAATGTTGATATCCTATCTGGCGCTCGGCGCCCATTCGAATGGCAGATCCTATCTAGCCTAGGCTATAATGCCGCTGATGACGTCAACGGCTTCCCAAGTACGAGCAGATCTCGGCCAATGCCGCACGCGTCAAGCACCAGGTATGTCTCTCGTATCACTCACAACCTCGTTCCCCAACTCACAGATGCCACTTGCACCCAAGGACCACCATGCGCCCCATCCAGCATTCGGCAGCGCAGCTCGGCTGTGGCTGCCTGCTCCTTCCAGCTCGCCCGTGAGCGCGTGAGCCTGGCCAGCGTTAGCGCAGCAGCGCTTGCTCAGCATGCAGCCAGTGCCCGAATGTCCAATACGTAGGCAGGCCCTTCTCTATATCGAAGTGGCCTGCTGCTGCGTGCAGTAATGCGGTACTGGGCCCTGGCCCAGACGCTTCCGGTAGGCCTCGGTCGTGCCTGCCTTCACTTAGGGCGGTCGACTGTGTGAAAAATAGGCCCCATAGGGCAAATCGAGGCCCTGTGCCTCGCACAAACCCGAAACCCAAGGAAAGAGAAGCTCATTGCAGCAGTCCAGTTGATTGCATCCAAGCTAAGCCAAAGCGAACCAAACGCAAGTCACAAGTCATATACTGTCTTGGGGCAAGCCAAGCCCGTGTGGGCGATGGTACACCCATACGATTCCATGAACTGTTGATATACATTGAACCGGGGCTGGAATCCGGTACAAAATGGGTGAAATAAACCTAACTGGATAACCTGGGGCAGGTTAGTTCAATGATGATAGCTCAAGCCCGTTGCGCGTCGTATAATTGAAAAAAAAAAAAGGCTGTTTGTGCGGGCGACCGGGCACCCAACTTGTGGCCCAATCTACGCCTGGGTGCCGGGCCGGGCATCAACCCCGGGCAAGATTCTGGGCAGCCCCAGCGTAAAAAATAAAACGATAAAAGGACAAAATGATAAAAAAATCATCATTGCTTATACAGTTTTAACTGGTTTGGAGCAAGCACGTAAAAAAAAAAACAAGTACAAATAAGTGTGTACGCCGTGTACTTGTTCCGCCAAACAGCACCGATTTTCTTTAGAGATCACTCTCTAAGGTGCATGAAAACGGATGAAAGTATATAAGAAAAACTGATATGCTGCTCGCATTTTTTCTCCTTCTAGAAGCCCATACCCCTATAAAATTAAACATAGGGATTAAAACACTTTCAAAGTACTTAGTACACACAAAAAAGTAGAAAATGTAGCATGCAAAACACAGCAATCAGGAAAGCTTCCACAGATAAAAAAGCCATCATGTACTCTGAAAGAATGGCAAAATCCAGGACTAAAACATTGTGTAGAATTGCAATACAAACGACTTTTGGTTGTCCTTCGCGACATCCGCTAAAATTGGAACGATAGAGATAAGATTAGCGTGGCCCCTGCGCGCAAGGATGACACACATAAATCGAGAAATGGTCCCAAAAAAAAAAAAAAAAAAAAAAAAAAAAAAAMACTTTTGGCTAAAGGTCATCTCTGAGTCCCTTCACAGACTCTAAGATAAAAAGGAAAGCAACTAACTCAGAGTAAGTCCCCCCCCCCCTCCCTCTTTCAACCCCTTTAGCCCCTTAAAAAACAATTTATACCCCCGTTCCCCCTGGACAAGAGAAAGGAGCCCAGATTTGGGATCCTCTGCGCACATGTGGAAAACCCTCACCCGAAAAAAAAAGAAAAGAAAAAAAGAGGGCTCACTTTTGCCTGCACGGAGAGCCGCATGCAGGTGACCCCCTGGCGACTTGCCCGGGTTGCACGGCCGTGCGAGCCAACTATGGTATAGCCTAGAAAGAAAAGACTCTGGCGAGCCTAAATCCAGCCAAAGCTGGCGTCAAGACAGTTATTCATTGACTGAAGTCAATGAATCTAAGTTAATTGATTAGGTCATTCTGAAGCAAGCCAGGTCAAGCCTGGACAAGCCAAAAGACAGACAAATGCAGGGCAAACCGGAGCAAGTCGACAAATCCTGGCCAGGTACAAGTCCTGGCCAGGTAAACCGTGTCAAGGCAAGCCAAGTTAAGCCACAGCAAGTCACAAGTCTAGCCCAGGCAAGCCAAGCCAAGGCTTCCATCTTCCCCTGAAAAGAGCGCCCAGACATTATCGCTGTTTCTAGACTGAATGTTGCCCCAAGTACAGCAATAATGACCATACATTATATTTGGCCGAAGATGGTCATTGGTTGCCAAGCCCAGCCCAGCCCAGCCCAGCCCAGTCACAGGGAAGCACGTCTCCCCACAATGATGAGGCAAACCACATGGGTGGCCTCGATCAAAAACTACTCGATTGTGACGGGCAAAAATGGATGTAGCTCTTTATAAATAAATAAAAATAAATAAATAAATAAAAGAAAATGGATGTGGCTGTGGCATCGTGTGAGGGAAAATGACAACCGAAACACACATACCATTTGTGTGACTATTGCGATAGCCAACAGCCGAGCACGAACACTGTCCCTTCGGGTGTACCTTAGAATCTGCAAAATGTTTTCACATCAAACGCAAACGAGAGAACAGAGCAATTCCAGGGGGCCTGGCTTAGCTAGCGAAAACCAAGGAATGTTGAAACACAGACAAACCTGAGATCAAATCCCAATGGATTGTCAGATGAGTAAAATAACACCGAATTCCACTGTGCCGGTTAGGTTAGTTTGAAGATGATACCTCGAGGTTGTCGCCCTCTTAAAAGGTGAAAAAAACAAACAAAAAGGCCTCAAGGCTGTCGCCCTTTTGAGCCGCCAGTAGCTTTCTCATGCATCGGCCTCGGGCCCTGCACGCCAAGGGTGGCCGATGTGTCTGGCCGTCGGCGGACGCCGAATCGAGCCCCCGTGTTAACTGCCTCGCCTCTGCTTTTTGGCTGGGAAAGGTACTGGCGGTTTAAAAGGTCCTTCGGGACATCCGTTAAAATTGGAACGATACAGAGAAGATTAGCATGGCCCCAGCGCAAGGATGACACACATAAATCGAGAAAAAAAAAAAAAAAAAAGGTTTAAAAGGCGCAATTGGGCATGTTCAGACAGCGAGTTTTTCTTCCAGGCTCTGAATGTGATTGCAGTCAGATTCATCCATCTCTGGCCGTAATTGCAGTCAGAGACATATTTTTCGGAAAGTGCTCGTGTGAGTGTGCTCTTTTTAAGTACTCCCAAGTTGCACTCTTGTGAAAAAAACGTATCTAAGTTCGTACAGCCATTTAAACCAGAAGTACTTATTTTCCCAACCCAGGACCACTGAGCCAAAAAGTTTTGGGCCTGCTGGATCCAGTAGGGACTCTTATTTCTTCTGAGCTCTGGACGTGATTGCTGTCAGATTCATCCAGTCGGGACTAAGGGCATTCACAATAGAGCTTATTTCTTCTGATCCCTGGACGCGATTGCATCCAGATTCATCCAAATTTGTTGTATGCATGCAAGGCCCCAGGCCTTGGCGGCACCGAGAAGGGGCCGCCTGCATTGGATTAACCGAGCCAAGGTGAAGACCGGGCGTACGGTAATAAAATTGGGCCCTAACGGCAAGTCCCAGTACGTCAAAAACTTACGGAGATAACTGTCGGGCATTAAAGTAAACGGGCCTGGCTTCTGGAAGTCCGCATAAGCTGTCCGAAAGGTTTTTTCACTGGACGGTCCTGGTCCTCGATGACACAACCGCACCCTCCCACATTTGACAAAAGGGGTGGAGACGGCTGGCTGAGGGACAAGCCTTTGTTTTTCACAACTTGCCAGCCATTCGGTTAAGAAGACCCTGCCAGCGACGGTAAAAATGATTCAGTAAAAATGATGCAGCTGCAAGAGCCAGACAGGGCGTTGAGGAAGACGGAGGGGCGGGGCTGCCACGGTTAAGCAGACCCTGCCAGTGACAGCCATAGCTGCACTGGATGATTGGATGAGGAGGCGCTGGTGTTTGGGAGGACGATGGGTAGAGGACAGCGACGAGAAGTGAGCCTTGCCTGATGAGCAACCGTAACGTGATCAGTCTCTGACGCATCGTTGAGCGAGCAGATGAACAGACCAGACGGAGAGAAGAGAGAAGAGAGAAGAGAGAAGAGAGTGAAGTATGAAATATATATTGTATAGAGCACCAACTGTCCTAGCTCAGTTGGTCCAGTACACCTCCGAACTGTTGAAATACACCCCCAGGTTCAAACTCCACTGGACGCGGATGAGTGAAATACTTCGTCGATTCCTGAGTTACCTAGAGAGGGTCAGTTCGATGATGATATCGCCCGACTGTCGCCCTTTAACCGAAAAAAAAAAAGGATAACACTCATAAGAGCATAGAGTAAGTAGGGAACAAGTATAGAGCTGTTGTTGTATTGACGATTGGAAGCGAGATGTCAGGCTTTCATTTTCAAGAAATGCAGCACATTCGTGCCGTTCTTTCGTGTGATCTTGACTTGTCAGCTTTGTTTCAGCTTTCGACTTTGCTCTCATACGCTTGTTCTACTTTGTATTTTTTACTATTTTACAATTTTCACTGCCGAGAAAGAAAAGAAAAAAAAAAATGTTCTCATCTTGCAAGATTCCTTGCATGCGCACTTTTGCTGCTAGAATTTGTATTGACATGACGCCATCCGAAAATTTTCTGATTCTGCGAGTATTATCCATGAAGGGCCTGCCAGAACAGATTAGCAGTCAATCTACTGCCCCATTTACACACCCCACTTGAATAACAGCATGATGTTCAACAAAAAAAAAAAAAAGAAAAAAAAAAGTATGATGTTCAACAGATAGCAGTGCCACTGGAAGGATGAAGACATTGAAGAGAGAGGTTATTTCACAAAAGCAGGGAGGGGAGATGAATCACACATTGGCTCTTTCTTCCATTCATTCATTCATTCATTCTTTCTTTCTTCCTTCCTTTCTTTCTTTCTTTCTTTCTTTCTTTCTTTCTTTCATTCATTTCTTGATTGAATTTCATTCATTCATTGGTTCAATAAACTTCCATCCCGACTTTGTTCATTGATTTTCATTCATTCATTCATTGTCCGATTACATTCTTTGACTATAAACAATTAATAGAAGAGGGGGAGGAGATGCAGAGATGGCGCAAGATGAACAGGGCGATGTCTTTGTCTTCTTCGTCTTCTTCTTCTTCTTCTTTCTTTCCTTCCTTTCTGTCCTTTCTTTCTAAAAGCACCCCAACCTCTGAGGTCTTACTTTCTTGTGGTGGATTTGAGCAGTGCGCCAAAAGTTGAAATCTAACCGGCAACAGGTCCGGGACACCAAGCCCCCGGAGAACGCGGCGCGGCGGTAGAGATGAAAATTTCCCAGAAGTTCGCATGTGGAAAGGTGGTGGCGGATTAAGAAAAACAGGTCCTTATGGAGCCGGCTTCATCTCCATTCAGCGTGCAAAGTTTTCGGGGGAAGATGGTAGGCATTTATAGGAATTGTCAGACATGCGGAGAATCTGGCCGTTTCTTCTCAGCAGATTCGGCCAAGGATACACTTCACCTGGTCCTCATAGCTCATTCTTGTTGAGGGTTTAGGGTTACCTGGGAGGGAGGTGAGAGGGCTGTATGTCGTGACATCTGACGGTCGACAGACGAGACAAGAATCGCATGTGAACCATGATTTCCTTTCACAATTTCGTTTCAGAAGCCACGCCACGCGGCAGGCACTATGTTTCCGGAACAATTCGCAAATAAACTTTTTTTTCTTTTTTTTTTTCATTTTCTGAAATTCTGGTAGAATTTGTGAGTGATTTGTTATCTTGCGTTCAGTTGGGGAACGGCGGGAATGAGAACATAATTAACTGCATACGCTAAAAAAAAGTAAAAAAAAAAAAAAAAAAAAAGCTGTGGACCTGTTCTGCAGTAAGATACGGAATCTGGGGTATGTGCCCTCAGTCATGGCATTACAGCCACGCGCGGCAGTTAAAAAAAAAAAAAAAAAAAAAAAAAAAAACAGGCAACAGAGAAAGTTAGCCAGACACTTCTGCCATCCCGCCTCACAAAACTCCATTCACCCACCCACTCTCCTCTTCCACCTCCCTTCTGTGGAGAGCACACTTTTTTTCGTGTTCACAGGGCAAACGGTTATTATTTACCAACAAGGATGCTGGCCAGAACATTGGGTGTTTCCCTGGCAAGCCGTAAGTTGTGTGTTCGATTCTTCCATTGGACATGCACAGAACATTTAATGACCCACTTACCTCGTAGTTCATGGGTTTCCACAGGAGGTCGCTATTCGCTGTAACTGCCATTTGAGTCAGGCAATCCACAAGCGCTTTGTCCATCTCGTTCACGCTGGGGATATCCCTCCTTTCTTCCTCTGCCTCTGTTGCTGCCTGCCCTTCCGGCTCCTGCCCTCGCACTGACGCTGTGAGCGCAGATGGTGGAGGCTCCACATCGAGTTGAGATGCCAGGGGAACCAACAGCCTC